TGGATCTGCCTTTTGTGTAGGATTTAAAATTATTTATTTAGAACTCCAGAACCCTTTCTACAAACGTTTGCCAGTATTTTAAAACTGCTCTACGTATGCTGCTCTGCCCTGCCCTTTTGGCTTCACTTCATTTGAGCATTCATGTGGTCGTGTTTTACAGGAATGAATGGGAAGCAAATAGACAGTGACTTTGGGAGTGCAGGAAAGCCACCTCTGAGGGATGCTGTGCCACAGGCTCTTGCAGTAAGTTTTGCCAGGTCCATGCAGTGGTAACTGCCTTTGGTAGCATGTGGCAGCAGCTGTTGCTTCCTTCTGACGGTCAGGGGCTCCCCTTCAGCTTGCTGAAATGCTTTGGGGGTGTACAACTGCTGCTGGAACATTGCACTCTAAACACAGTAACTGCTGGGGACAGAGCCATGGTTCATTGTGAGGCCCAGGGCTTGTGGTTCAGGAGCAGAAGTGGTGCCTTGTGGCTCAGCTGGACCAGTAACCTGGCAGAGCTGCTGCTGGACTATTTGCAGGGAGCCCTTCATCACGTGAAACTTTACTGCAGCTTTGCAAAAGCCTGCTTTAATCATTGCCAAGAGTGGATGTAGGTAGGAGTTTGCAGTTTACTTGTGCCCGTTTCATGGGCACAAACCATCCAAGGTTCTCAAATGATATGGGATCATTTTACTGATAATATTTTTAATTTGCCTGCTAGGGCTGGAGCCTGGACATCACTGTGGAAAGCAGTTCTTGTGGGCTTATCAATACTTGGAGAATTAAAATGTTCGTGCAGCTTGAGGTCTGTCTGTTCCTGTGCTTACTGTTTATTGTTAGCTGGCTCTAGGCAGCTTTCTGAATCACTTTGGAGGTGTTTCAGCTCTCTTCACAGGTTTATACCACTTTTTTATCAGTTAGCTTTAAAAAAAATCCAAAAACTTAACGGCATGTGCAGTGAAGGAGGCCTGTGTGGGTAATACCAGAATTTACCGTCAATTCACTTTTCCTCAATAGCCATTTTTCCTTCATACCTGCCCCCTTTCCTGCTGGTTAATGGCCTACGCTATTTCCTGAATCATTTCACAACACTAGGATTAGGAAAAGCAAACAGTGTCTTTAACAATAAGCCATTTTAAAATTATATATCCATTTGAACTGAATTGTACTTAGGAACCTTATTCTCAAAATGGTGGATAGTTAGAAGGAAAACTTCTGGTCCTACTGTCAACATGACGTTTTAGTATGGGAGGGCTTTTGAATTTAGAGTATCTTCAGAGCTAGCAATATGTTTTAAAATGTCAGTATCTGAACTAATCTCTGATTTTCAGCACTAGATGAGCTTGAGGTCCATTTGCATGTTTAGTATCATTTTATTGTCTGTAAAATGCTTTTTATTCACAAAGCTGAATGTAAATGAACAGTATTACTAAAATTGTGCATGTAGCCACAGTGTCAAAAGAATTTATCTTTTGTGAAAAAATAAAAATGAATTATTTATTTATTTTTAGATATTTCATCCCTTCATATTTATGACCTGATAGATTTTCTTTTAAAGCATATAGTACAATTTTTGGAGTGCCAAAAGGCACTTATACTGTACTGTGATATTTCATTTTCATGCATCTGTGAAGCTAAACCTGTAAAGTCTGACTCTTGTGAAACACTTAGTTCCACACAGTCTCAGTTTTTATGAAATGAGAATGCAAAGCAGAAGAAAATTAAGTATCTTGAATACAAATTATTAGGATTTGGCCCCTGGTTAACATGTACTCCACACGACTGGAAGCAACAGCTACCTTTTGGTTACTGTGTACTTTATTCTGGCCAACAAATACAGGATATTCTGACTTTTCAGCAATTTTCAGCCTTACGTGAACAGCAAACAATGTTTGCTTCAGCTGTCTTGACCAACAAATATTGGTAGAGTGGCCATGATGTACGTGAACAGAAAATAAAAGCATAGGCAATGCTTTCCATATATTGTCTTCAGCACTGCTAGGTATTGTGTCATTCCTGCAGGTACAATCATAGTATAATTCTGAAATACATGTACGTTAAATACATCATTTTTCTCTGAGCAATTTTCATTCTGTTAAAGCAGTTTCACACAGACAGTGGCAGCCATTTAATGCAATGAATAGTCTCTGTTGTTTCTATCAAAGATGAAAAATACACTTGGATGGGTTGGGTTGAAGCATTAACATTTTTCTCAACATAGAGCTCCCAAGCTAGAGTTGAGTATCCCTGTATTCTGCCAGATTTTTTTACTGATATAACTCTGTAACTGCTACACATTGGTTTAAGTGCAATGGCTTCAGCAGACGTGACCTGGGGATGTGGTTTGATGTACCTAACATAAAATTCACTTGTGCATCAGTGTAGTTGGAGCACATGGAAGAAGTTTATAAACTAGACATACATGTTGGCTGTAGGCTTAAGGAGACATAATGCCATTGTTTATTCCACAGGATCTGGAATAAATCAGTCTTGAGAAATGGTCTCAGGAACCATTTGGTTCAGAATTATATGAGGGTATCACCTGCACCTTACTTCTTAAGTAAATGTTCTGCCTTAAAGGGGTATGTGCCATGCAGGCAGAAAAGACAGCAGTTGGTTGAGGGAATTAAGTAAAAAGCCCAAGAAATGCAGAAGCATGATTTCCATCGACTTGAGCAGAACTAGTGCCAAGATCTCTACTGTTTGCATCATGGTGCTGTGCTAGTGCATTAAATCATTGGCAGCAACATCCATGGAAATAGGTGGTTTGATTGGAGTTTCCTTAAGCGAAATGTCTCAACTTTTGACCCTGATCCATCTCCTGACCTTTATGCTTGCAGCTTGCTCATTGAGAGATTTAGTGAATGGAGAAAACCTATCCTCTCCTATTCCTCTACCTTTATTTGCAGGAGTGTGCTATCTGAAGCAATAACTTATTCAATTCTGATTTATCCAGGTATCTCCTGGCTGTATCACATATCATTATGAGCACCACATTATCAAAAAAAGAGCAAGGGACTGGAGAGAGTTAAGAAACTATAATGGGGAATATCAAGAAGAGGCCAACACATCTGACAAAAATCATACAGTACGCTGTTGTATTTTTAGAAGTAGAAAGCTTTACCTGACTAAGGGAAACTTGATAATGACGTGAGGAATGTGGCTCCCAAGGAAGGGAGGAAAAGCTCTTCACCTGGGAGTTTGGGAACTGCAGCAGATAAAAGATACTGTCAAGAAAAAGTTCTCATGTTCAGGAGGATGGCTATCTGGCAGGTCTTTACCTTCTCTGTCTCCTCTGCTTCTGCAGTTACTTAGACACCCCACCAGTTGCATTGAAGCCCCCTGGATACGTAAGATATAGGTAATATTTGGCTGCACATTCTTGACTCTTTTAAGCTCCTTAAGGACACAGTTCCATGTTTGATGGTCACGTGTGGAAGAGAAGCTTTAGAATACTAATGCCTGTTATAAATCATTCCTTTTCTTAAATGTTTTGCAAACATACACCTCAAATATAGGCAATTAGTTCCTTTCAGAGTATATTTATATTTCATTAGAAACAGCAAAGTGTTGATGAAAAGCTGTAGTAATAAAACACTTAGCAATTTGTAATTACAGTTGAAGAAATTTTCACCTAAGCTTGTAAGAATTCAGAAAAAAAATAGAGGTAAATATTTTAAAAATGATTAGTTAGGCTTCTACAGCAATAGCTTATTGCTTTGGAAGATCAGCAGATTTGACAGTCAGAAAACTTACTATGATGCCCTAAATTGTACTCAGGAACCTAATTTTGAGTGATTTTTTTTTTTTAATAATTCCAGTTGAAAAACGTTTAAAAGATTAACAACCTGCCTTAGATACATTTATATATTTATCTGTCTTTATTCCTGATTATAGATTTCTTATTTTTTTTTATCTTAGTGTACCTTTTTTTTTTAAATTAGGTTATTTCTAGAGATTTATATTTTTATATCTAGAGATACAGTACAGGGTATAGAGCTGTTTATTTTCTACCTAAACCAAAACAGAAAAGTGTTTTGATGTTGATCACATTTTAGAAGCATACAGTTCTAGCAAGCATGATGTATCTATTTAAAAAAAAATAATTTCAAGTTTCATAGTTGACTAGTATGAGCAGAAATTAAAAGGTAATTAAGATTAATGGAAAAGCCCATGAACTTTAAAAAAAAATAAATTAAGGGATTATTAGATAATGAAGACCTTTCTAAGATTTGGAAGCACGTTTTAGACATAACAGAGACTTTTGATTCATTGGTTCAAAAAATTCTGTAGAAATTTAACCAAATATTACTTAATTTTGTGGGATGATTTTGCCATTTTTTATTGCGTTAAACAGAACCTTCTGCAGCAAGTGGTTTATTTAAATTTAGCACACTTTCCCAGCAAGAACGAGTTTACCATCAGGATAGCAGAGTCAGGCCCTGTAGTTTGTGCCTGTAGAGCTCATTTGGATCATCTCATTGCATTTTATAGAATTTATTCGTAAAGGTTTTGTAATTTTTGAAGTCCTAATTGGTTTAGGTGCTAAGAACAGCATTGGAGTACAAGCAGAAGAGACAGGATCCACTTTTAGATTCTGTTTTTCTAGGATGTCATGCTTACTAGAATTATTTAAAGTAACTTTTTCAGATGCATTATACTCTTTATTTCAACAGTATATTATTTAAACAACATGTTAAATCCCAATATTTACAGAAAAAAACCCCATAATTGTAACAATTATAGAACTAAATTTCAGATCTGCAGAGTTTCATTCTTATGATAAAGATATCAAGAGTTTTGCATATTATATTGAAGCTACATATAAAAAATAACCTTGCTAAATTAAAGAGCAATTACTTGGTTTATCATTGTTTGCCGTAAAAATATCACCATCTTGAAAAAAGGAAAAAGAACTTGTGGGGCAGGACTTTACACACTGACTTTTTGGAGGACTGTTGTTATGAATATCACCTAAGCTCAATGGATAATCAATTAGATCTATGCTTTCTTTGCAGCTCTTTCCAAACACTTTTTTCTCCGAGCCCCACCATTCTACTCAGCATGCTGCGGTGGGTCCTGTCAGCACCCTGCATCCCCCACTGCTTTTCCAAGTAAGTTTTTATGCTTCATCAGTAATGCTTGAGTTATTCTGTAAACCAAAGCAGCAGGATTTAATGTGTTCTGGAAAACTAATTGGTGATGCAATGGCAGCAGCTAATTCCTTAGTAAAATCACAGCAATCCTATTCAGAGGGTTTCCAAAGATTTATCAAACTTAAGTACACTGAGCAATTGTGAGAGGTTTCTAATGGCATTGAGACACCCAGACAGAGCTAACCTAGGAAAGCTCCTTGTTTTCAGTTTGCTAGAAAAGATTCTTTAAAATCAGTAACTCTTTAAAAAATCTGTCTCAATAAACATTTGCAAATAGGAAAATAAAAGAGTTGAAAGATCTTAAAATGGATGCTGCATTTTAATGTCTGTTAGGGATAAATTATGATTCAGGAAGCCTTAGCATTATTTAAATAAAACAGTCATTCTTTTTGTAGCAGTCAAATGCATGCACATGTTTAATTTGTTTTTCTTTTTTAATTATAATGTAAAAAACCGAAGAAGTAAGTTGAAGAGAATTTTGGCCCGTATACACTATATGTTCAGGATTAAGACCTGGCACACACTTCCATTTAATCAAAATCTAAATTTAACCTTGATTATGAAGTTTGCATGCAATAGTGTACAAATGGATATTCATGATTTTGTGTGTTTATGGCTCAGGAGTGCAAACAGAGGAGGCATTTCCTACTCCTTCAAAATGAAGAAAAAGCACAAATTGCCTTTCAAATCCAAATGAAAATTGGAACTTATGCGTGCTCTAGCATATACTTTTTTATCACAGTTATATTCAATTCCTTCCTGACTACGTGTATGTGTTTTATGAATGTTTCAGAAGGGCAGTTGCTAAGTTGAATGATTCTTGACAAGTGAGGCAGCAAATGCTGGCAGTTTAATGAGCTGCAAGTTTCTGAGCACCTCTTTAGGGGGCTGACACTTTCCCACAGAGCATTTTACATGGCCCCGGCTCTCCAACAATGGCTGACAGCACCATGACCAATCACCACTTTCACTTTACTCATCCACACGCGACCTCACCACAATTTTTCACTGTGCAGATGAACTTTAGGAACCATTTCACACTGAAAAGGCCTGGGCAAGGGTCAGTTGCCCTTTTGTATGGCCATAAAGCAATACTCTATGTGCCAGTCTTTTCTGCTGTCTCACATTCCAAGAGATTTTCTGGACACCATTTAAAGCACTTGACTGAAAAATAAAGCAGTGAATGAAACTGACTTTTATAGACTCATTCTAGCTCATCTTCCCATATAACCCTGTCTACCTGAAAAGGGATTTAGTGGATGAGCTGAGTGTATACAGGGACTTGCTGAATACATAGGCCCATTATCAACTGTGGGGATTGTTTATTAACCAGGACTGATACACTACTATTTTGGAAGTGACCTATTAATTGTCCATTTAACTAGAATGTATTGAATTCAAATGAAAAAATGGAAACCGTGACTAAAGCTTTTACTTGCTCCTTCAAGGTGGTCTCTGCCATGAAGGCAAATGAAGATTGTTCCACAGATTAAGAGGACATTTATCACTATATATTAGGATACAAAGGAAAGACTTAAAAAACCAAAGCAAACCAAAAATCAAACCAACAACATAGGAAATAGTTGGTAACAGATTCACATTTATGTCAGCAGAGTACTAAACCTTTTCATGCACATTCAGAGCCACAGGCTGCAAACTGACTTATTTCATTTTGATAGAATTGTTGTGATGTACGAACAACTACCTATCCCGATGTACAGAAAAATCCTTTAGTCCACAAACGAAAATTTAGGTTTTGTGTGAACAGTCGGAATGCACTTTGGAATATGGGGTATTCTTAAAAAAATTCTCAAGGCTAGTCAATTGAGGGTGAGTATTCATTATCCCAAACACGAGCTTCACATTTTTTGACCCAGTGGCTGTTTGCTAATGCTTGTGAGCATTCTGCTCACCATTAAATTTTGTTTAGTTAATCTTTTAAACACAGTTACATATTGTGCCTTAGAGTATGTAGATTCTTCGCTGTTAAGTTAGTCTAACACAGGTGTTAAGCTGTACCCTACATACTGCCTGTACAGGAATTAATTGGCGCCTCGGGGCTCCAGCAGGAGGTGGTTTCTTTGCTGATTGACTGTTAACAACCAGCCAGGCAAGACAAATTTTAAGGGGTCACATAATCTGGCGTCCTCTGTCCTTGGCTGACAACTCCATTGTGGAATGGAGGCCAGGAGGCAAGGGCCAGCCCTGTTAACGCCTCTTCCCTTGCTGGTGTCTCTCATCCCACAGTGAGGATGAGGGAAGGTACCAGCTCTTCTGCTGTCAGACTATGCCTTCCAGTAGACTTGAGAATGGCTGGTGATTCGTCAGAAACTGCTCAGAAGCTAACTGGAAGAAGGTACCTAAATTCACCACATTTGAGCAAGAACGAGAGAAAACATGCTTGAGGAAGAAGGGCCAATGTTTGCCCCCAGCTTTGTGGGCAGGATGGGAGCTCAGGGTGGGAGTCATGAGCAGGCTACGCACTTCTCAGAGAAATATGAACCTGGCTTGCCCTTTGCAGAAACCTCCATTGTGGCATTTTGACTTTTGTTCTGCAGATAGTTTATTTTGGTTTGGATGTAGTCTGACTATGTCTCACTGTGTCATAAATATCAGGATAATAACCAGTAGGTTATGATTTTTGTATCTGATCTCAGATATAATTTTGAAAATTGAAATACATCTGTATAAATTTAGATTTATTTATACTGTAACATTTTAAATCATAATAATTACTTTTGCCACAGGCTGGTATGGGGGACGAATAAAAAGATGGGTTCTTAAAGTGTAGAAAAAATCAAGAAAGGCATGTCTAGCAGAATGCAATCTTCCCTAAATCAGTAATGTTTGACACTGGCAGTGTATTTTAGGGAAGGATCATTGTACACTTACACAGCTTCTGATATTATTCTTCTGCTGGTCACAGTTGGAGGCAGGATACAGCGGTAATGTAAGTAATATCAAACCAGTCACACATGCACCACAAAAGTATTTAGTCAACTTTGTAAGACATACACATATACACTTTAGTTTCTCATCATTATACATACACAGTTCTACAATATCCTTGGTATATGTTTGTTTGTTTCTCTGTGGGTGCTTAAAGATACACATACCCATGTGTATATATGTGTAACATACAGAAGTTGAAATGTGGCGTAGCCCAAAAGAACAGTTTGTGAAAGCTGCATCTGGATTTAATTAGTATTTTCAAGAGCATTCTATCTATTAAATAAATGTATTTACACCCCCTCTCTCCTGCTACAGCTGGCTAGAATAGATAGACTTTTTCATGAAAGAATGTGCAATCTTTTAGAAAATCTGCTTTACATGGGAATTTTGCCATTGGCTTCAATATGAAAATGATCCTTGACAGAAATCGAACACCAGCATACCTTTGCAGCTGCTATAATTATAAACTGGGATGGCAATCTTGGCCCATGTACATGGGAAGGCGGACAACAGGAGGACAGCTTGCACCTGTAGAGTCTAACTTGCACGCAGTACACACCGAAGCTATCTTCGTGGCTGCCCTCTCACATAAAGATCGTAGGTGTCAGTGGCTGTATAGCCATGGCACAGGTTTCTGAATCAAAGGGCAGCTCTTTCCTGGCCTGCTTCCAACTGCCCCATGCAATTACCACACCCAACACTTGGTGACAGGCCCTATTCAGCTGGCCTCTGGTACTCCTCCCCGGGGCTGGAGGTGTACCAAGCCTCACCAGGGACTGCTCCCCATACAGCACATCCTTCTAGGGGAGAGGTAGCATGGGAAAGCACTATGGCTTTAGGCTTTATTGGGGGTGAGGAAGGCGAGCGATTTATCTGGATTTGAGTTTTCTGTGCTCTTTGTGAGGCCAATGAAGGGACAATGTGAACACTTCTCCACTCCAGCTTTTTCCCCCAATTTTGAGGTTGTTTTCCAGGGTAGGGTTCCCTCTAGGCATGGATCAAGGGGATGTGATTGGATTCATTAAAAACTGCCCTCCCAGGACTTGCTATGAGATGTCAAAGGATTAGAAACCAGGCTGAAAGGAGTAAGTTCAAGTACTCCTGAAATCCTGTAATAAAGAAATTGCTGCAGTTTCCAGAATGAGTAAGTGAATGGCCAGGGATTTTCTGAGAAATAGTTCACTCTGAAAGCTTTTCGTTAGTAAACAAAACTAAAGAAAGCCTATTTAGTTTCTTTGAATCAGTATTACAGACCACATTTATCTGGTTCTGCATTTCATACAAGGAGAAAATAAAGTCCTAGGAAAACTTACTGCAGTTTACTCAGGGATGATAACGTGCAAAGGAAAATGGAAAAGTTTCTCCCTGATTATATTTGAATTTTACAGTAGCATGGGCCCTGTGTTAATGTTCCTCTATGAACTCATCTGATTTACTTTTTACCATGTCAAGGGGAGACTTTTGACCACTGACAACACCTCTAGATCCAAGTGAGGATTTAGTCCTTAATGAACATGACTGAAGCATTACGACACACTTATAACACCAACAAATCAAAAGTGGGACAGTAGTCTGCTAGCATTATAATGAACAGCATTTAATATTTCTCTGGTATGTGTTAGATACTATGTGAAACTCTTACCCATTTCCACTAGGAGAGGAAAGTGTCCTGCCTCTTCTGACCCAGGAGTCTAACTCCAAAGCCCGGAGAGGTATATTAAGAAGAGCTGTCTTTTCCGAAGACCAGAGGAAAGCTTTGGAGAAAATGTTTCAGAAGCAGAAATATATCAGTAAAACAGACAGGAAGAAACTGGCAATTAACCTGGGTCTAAAGGAGTCTCAGGTAAGGAATGACAGAACATCTGTGACTTTTTGTCTTTTTGAGGAAAAATCTTTAAAATGGCTTTGAAGGAGGAAAATCGAACAGCACAGGGGCAGCCCTGAGCTCCTTCACTGAGCAAAGACCTCAGTAAATCAATGGCAGTTTTAACCAAGGAATGCTTGAACAGGCTCCTACTTTATTTCCTGAAAGTGTGCATTCAAAAGTTGATCGCTCCATTTTCACACAAAGTGGGAGAAACACCACCTCTGCATTTCATTTCCAACTCCCATTTTGCTGTCTGACAGAGCCTCCTCAGGAACTCTGGGCAGGGAACTACGCTCCATCCCACTGTCTGATAGGCAGAGATCCAGGCAGAAAACAGCCGAACATAGAGCCCTCCTGCATTCCTCTACGTACCCTTTGCGCTTGCAGATGAACAGCTAGTGACAACGCAATCAACAGCACCGCTCTGAAACCATTCTGCCCTAAGACACAGGCAGCCATCCCTACAGAAACAAACTTAGCTGCACAAGGAAAGAGATCCTCGGAGCAGAGAGGAACTCTAGAGGGAAAAATTTTGCAGGGTGGCCTTCTAAAATGCTCCCACTTTACTTACCAATTCACATTTCATGGGATTTTTCACATGAGTCCGCGTTGGCCTACTGCAGGACTTTAGAGTTTAGCTGAGGGTCTGATACCTCCAGTGAGCTGTTCTAACTGAACTGTTAGTGGCAGTGCTGAGGGGCAGTAGCCCAATCTGGAATCTCAGGGCCCTGACCTAGCTGCAGATAAAAGCAAAAGAAAAGTGCCTGGCTTGAAGAGCACAAAACCTGAAAGAAACTGGAAAAAATGTTTGTGAAGGCGTGTAACAGCAGGAAATGAACATGGTAGCAGCTGGCAGGTGGGATTCTGAAGGTGCTGAAGTAGATGCAGCTGTCTGGAGTACAGCTAGAAAGAGTGAGAGAGTGACAGTACAATTTTATTTCCTTGCATGCAGCAGGAGCAAAAGTCCTTAAGATATGTAGGGCAGAAAAACCTGGGAATGATGATGGGAGCTCTCACCATCTTTATCTCGGAGATTTTCAGAACTTGACAAAACCCTGAACAATTTGATCCAACGTTGCAGTTGGCTCCACTTTGCGCAGGAGGTTAGATCTTGTGGTCTGTAGTGGTTCCTTGCAACCTGACTCTGATTTCCATCACAAGTGCTGCAACTATAAACAAAAAAAGCAGCACAGTGTGGTGCTTCTCAGTGTGATGAACAGAGCTGTAATCTCTGCGGGATAAACTATTTCAATGAAAATGTGCACTTGCACTCACCAGTGCACTGCCTAAAAATTTCCCAATATGTAGTCAAATTCCTAATATTACAATTATTTCCTTGAGTTTTTCTTCTGTGTTCTTTATATTCAAGAGAGCCCAGGGGAGAAAAAACAGTGGAATGGCAAATATATAACAACTACCACTACAGGAAAACAATTTCATGATAATGATAGACCAGATGATATCTGTGTCTTTTTAATTTTTTTTCCTCATGAAAGGAAGAGCG